GATTACTTTTTTTCAAGTTTCACCCAATTCACTAGTTAACTGTGGTTTTGTCTTAGCTTACTATTCGGTTTTTTTTCATTTTTTCACGTAAAGGCTAGTTCAGTTTATCTTACCCTTTTTTAGCCATTTATGCTCGTTTTTCAGTGTGCTTTTTAGTGTATTTTTTACGGCCTTAGGCTTTTGCTAGCATCTATAACACAGTTTACGTCAATACATTCATAAAAAATTCATGCAAACAACCCGGATGCTGATTCGCTGTTACATCTAGCATGCAATGCGACAACTGCAAATGTTGATTCCACGAAGCGTGCACAGACCTCACAGTAATTGCTTACAACAGACTCAGAAGTTCGGATCATAAATGGGTATGTGTTACATGCAACATGGATGCTGTAGTTTTGCTGAGTAACATCATTGTCCTATTGAGAGGTCTGTGGAATAAGTTTTCAGCAAACTTTGAAAAGGGCAGTCATAAAACGGGTAGACAAACAGGGATGCGCAATGAAAACAAGAATAAGGATGTCGACAGGTCTACTATCGATAGAGCATACACTAGCACTTGTGATGATATGCAGAAACTCAGCACCATCATAATGTCGACGGCAATAGACTCCCTCAGCGAACTCGGGTGCCTCAAGTCAGGGCCCTTGAATGCAATGGTGATCCCCAAAAACTCTGTAGGTGATTGGACGCACGTTGACGGAGCTTAAAAGGACCAGGTGTCACCGTCTAAGCTGAAAATTTTAAGTATTGCACGGAAAGCAACTGGCGATTTGATCGTACAGTCTATCCCAAGAATGTCCGTCCGGTCATCAAAGAGCCTAGGATCCAGAAACGTGCTTCGACCTCCAAACAACAAGGTGCTGAACCTGAACGCACCGGAAAACCTGGGAAAACAATAACGGTTCGTGATGACTCTCTCATAATCATAAACCTCAAAGACAACCCTGACCCTCCTCTCAGTTTGCAGGACAAAAATGACAGGATGCTCTGGGGTGAATTGAACAAGAAACTTGAACTTCCTAGAATAGAGCCTTTGACGGTCATATGGCTCATTCGGGGAAAGGAATCCATGCATCAGAATCACTCGAGGCTACTTCGTGAAACATTTAAGAATGCTACCGACGTAGAGGATGTCTTGCTAGCTAGTCATTTACTGACATCCGATGGGAACGTAAGAACACTTCCCGACGCACAGTATCCTGAGCGCAATCTCATCCAAAACATCCCTAAAGAGTCTCGCGAGTTTTTCCGCAGAAGAAATATAATTGTGCAAGGTGTACCGAAAAACATGGACCGTAATCAAGCAAAATCTGATATTAGGGAATGGAAAATCATTAAACAGTCCTAGAGGCTCAAAAACATACTGACTCAACATGTGACGAGACTAGCTAAGAAGGATGGCGATTCTAGACCCCGGCTAATGAAGATAACTTTCTCATCCTTCCATATGGCGGCTGCAACTCTGAGGGCATTTCGTGCCAACAGACGTTGGTTGCCAACTGGAATCCACATGCATTCGGATAGGCCACAAGCACAAAGGCAAGTTGGAGCTGACCATTCCACTTATGGACTGTCTCAATGATAAAAAAGCGTGTAAAGGACAGGGCCTACCAACTCGGTACACCTTATGTAGGTGGGCTACCTGTCCATTCACGTAAGGCTCATACAGGTAAACAGGAAGAAGCTCACGCGTTTCAAATTGAAAGCATAAACTGCTTATACAAGAACGCCGCGAGTATACTAAACAAAATGGATGACCTACGTGAACTTAGCAATACTAATAAGGCTCATTTGACAGGAATGTCTGAAAGTTGGATATCTCAGTTCTCAGACCGGGAGTTAGCAGTACCTGGGATGTCTTTGTTTTGCAACGACAGAAAATCAGGAATTGGAGGTGGAGTAGCCGTATACATATGATCTTGCTTAGAGGTACACCAAGTTCATAACCTCGAGTTTAACAATCTTGAGGAATTCATATAGTGCTCTGTAAGATTGTCTGCTGATTCGAGGTGTCTAGTCGGAGTCATATATAGGAAGCCCACTGCCGACATCGAGTATGGCAGTCGTTTGCTGGAAGGATTATCCCGCTCTACTTGTCTCGGTTTCACATACATCCTGATTCTATGGGACTTTAATCTCCCAAGAGTCAACTTCGCGGAACACACGTATACTGGAGATGACCACTTAATTGAAGCTCGGTTCTTCAACCTCATTGAGGACTTGGGATTATACAAAAATGTGAAGTCGGCAAGTCGTTGGAGAAACAGTCAGACACTGTCGCGCTTAGACTGTGTATTTACAAACGAAGAATTCTTAGTTGACAACCTCTCAATCCTGGCTCCTCTGGGAAAGCACGATCACGCCATTAAAGCTTGCAGTTTTGTCAGCAAAACTGAGCTAAGATATCCCACCAACAAATTGCGCTGAAATTTAAGACGGTTGGATGTGTCAGCTTTACAGGACTATCTACAACAGGTGGATTGGCATGTTCACCCTCAACTCGATATGGATGCTCATTGAGACTTCTTACTGCACACGCTCTTATGTGCCGCAAATCATTCAGTTCCGCAAACGGTCGTCCACAGCTATCAGCAACCCACAATCATCAAGAACCGCACTCTTCTCGCCTGCTAAGCCGCAAAAGGCACTGTTGGGCAGAGTACAAAAGAACTGACAACAACGGCGCGTACAGGTAATGCAAACATATAAGGAACATATGCACGAAGGCTATAAAACAACAAAGGCTTCAGTACAAAATAAAGATTATGGACAAATTTGTCTCTAATCCGAAAAGCTTATTCCGTTATGCATCTTCTCTTCGTCAAGCTAAAACTGGAGTTTCCCAACTACTAAGTCCTAACGGCTCGACCAACAACGACGGCCACGCCGCTACCCTTTTGACTGAACAATACTCTCGGACATTTCAACCGACCCACATCAACTATACTGACGACAGCTCCATTTGCAACTGCACAGGACTTTCCTAAGTGAACCTGAGCGCTGACTTGGTGTTCCGCAAACTGCTGCACTTAAGAATAGACAATACTCCTGGCCCGGATATAGTCCATTCTGCCATACTGAGGGAAGCAGCCTCAATCCTGACAACGCCGCTCAGCGTGATGTTCTCACACCCGCTAAGCCGAGGCAAACTACGGGAAAATTGGAAGCTGGCTCACACCACACCAATTTTCAAAGGAGGTCGACGCAGCAAACCTTCAAGTAACCGACCGGTGGCTCTTCTTTCAATGCCTTCAAATATCATGGAGTCCTTGATATGCAATGGTATAAATGACTATTTACTATCCTTAAATTTATTCTCACCCCAACAGAATGGTTTCAGGAAGGGTTACTCTCATATAACCAACCTGCTAACTGCAGTAGACAGATGGACAAGCGTCCTCGATCGCAAGGGGAGGTTGATATCATTTACTTAGAATTCTCAAAAGCTTTTGATAAGGTTAACCATACATGTCTTATCAGTAAGTTCAAACGATTGGGTATCAGAACACCTCTAATTGATTGGCTCACTTCATACCTGAAAAATCGACACTTTAAGGTCAGGGTTAATTCCACTTTATCGCAGGCTATGGAATGTCCTAGTGGGGTCCCCCAGGGCTCAGTACTAGGGCCTCTTCTCTTCTTGATCTACATAAATGATCTTCCTCAACAGGTAACGTTAGACTTATTACTTTTTGCCGACAACATGAAACTTTGGAGAGAGATACGCAACCAAGACGATATACAAGTACTTCAGGAGGATCTGACTCGAATTCCTAGTTGGGCAGATGATAACGGACTTACCTTTAACACTTCAAAGTGAAAAGTAGTTCATCTGCGACATGTCGCAAACTACAGTTACAACTTAGGAAAGTCCTCTCTGGTGATATCCCGAGTCGAAAAAGATTTAGGAGTCCTGGTGCCCTACGATTTAAAGTCTTATGCTAACTGTGGCAAAAATGTCTTTCGAGCAAGCCTTGCACTGGTAACATTGAAGCGCATTTTTGGCCAGTTTGACGGAAGAACTTTCCGTATATTCTTCAACAGTTTTATCCGTCCCCATTTAGAGTACGGAAAAATAGTATTTCCTCCCTCACTCCAAAAGGACAAGGACGCTCTGGAGCGCATCCAACGGCGAGCCACGAAATCAGTTCGAGGACTCAAGTTTAAACCTTACGAAGAGCGTCTCCGATCACTTAATCTTTACCCATAAGAGTATAGGCGTCTTAGAGGTGACCTTCTAATGGCTTACAGTATCTTTAACACTTCTGGACATCCTCTTAAACACCTACTTAATCTAAGTTCCAACACTAATCTGAGGGGTAACATCCAGAAATTGGAGACACAACATAGCAAGACGGAATGTAGAGACAACTTCTACTCCTTAAGAGTTGTCAAAAGCTGGAATTCGCTGCCGGCCGCGCTAGTCCAAGCGACTTCTCAGGAGTCCTTCAAGAGGCAACTAGACCTGTTCTTAAGGACTAAGGATAGTATCGCATTATGATTTATTAATTTCTTCTCCTGTCAACAAGAACAAGTCCCAGATGTGTTTCCTACGCTTTAACAGCTTCCGGGTTTCTTTATTAATCCATGGAGGGCAGTGTGATAGCCTACGTGCTGACCATGGGTTAAACTGCAATTCTACGGACTCGAATGTAGCCTTAAACTTATTCCATTCATCTTCGATCAATCCATCCGCGTCGACCGACCAATCAGTCGAGATAGCACAATTTCTGATTGCCGGAATACTGGCTCGCCAGATATTGGGATGGGGTGGAGCAGATACGAATTGTATACCATGTGTCCTAAACTTAAAGTGAATTACAACGTGATCACTGTTCACTAGTGGGGGAAGGTGCTGAATATCGAAAACATTCTCACAGTGGTGGGTGAGGGCGAGGTTCAGCCATTTTAAGCATTCACTCACCTTCTTTTTCCACCAAAAACGCTATTCAGGTGTGATACGACTCCAAAACATACAGCCTCACACTCTCTCAAAACTGAAACCGAAATTGAGCACTCGCGGTCAGTTCGGGTGTTTTGGTCCGAAACAATGGCGAGTGCTGTACGCAAGAAACTTGTTATTGTTGGAGATGGTGCATGCGGAAAAACTTGTTTACTTATTGTATTCAGCAAAGACCAATTTCCCAAAGTATATGTCCCTACTGTATTCGAAAACTATGTTGCAGATATCGAAGTTGATAACAGACAAGTAGGTGTATATGTACTTATTATATGTGGCAGGTTGAATTAGCTCTTTGGGACACTGCTGGCCAAGAAGATTATGATAGGTTACGGCCACTTTCTTATCCTGATACGGATGTAGTTCTGTTGTGTTATAGTATTGATTCTCCTGATAGTTTCGAAAACATTCCTGAAAAATGGTTGCCAGAAGTAGATATCACGAGTTCATAAATCCTATTATAGATCCGGCATTTTTGTCCTGATGTCCCCATTATCTTAGTTGGAAACAAAAAAGACCTACGACATGATGAGGCTACGAAGAATGAGCTTCATAGAACCAAGCAACTTCCCGTCACTTTTAATGAGGGTAAAGAAATGGCTGAAAATATTAATGCTTATGCGTTCTTTGAGTGTTCAGGTACTGTCTTTACTTATTGTCTAGCTTTCTCTAGCTAAGACCAAGGAAGGTGTCAGCGATGTTTTTGTAGCAGCTACTCGAGCCGCCTTGAATTCAGCGAAGAAGAAGAGGAGGAAATGTGATTTAATTTGATCCTCACTGTTCTCTGAATTGTCTAAACTTGATTTTCCGGTCTCCAAAACGTACATTCCCCTCCTAATTCTTCCTCAGGACCTTAAATTGCTACTTCTATTGACTACTTGTTTCTTTAACGATCATACTTTTTGTTTACCAACAAGACAATCCATTCCACGGAAATACTTACCATTTATTTTTGTCTTGATACTAAGACAGGGCATGCCTCATGTAACTTATATTTATTAAGAATAAATTATTATAATCAGTCGGCTTTTTAACTTTGTTATCCAGCATTCATGCCTGTTGATTGTAACAAAATATACAAAGCCAGTTTATAACTAAATTCTGTTCCAAGTTTATCCGGTCTGCAAAATAATTGCGACTCACCTACTTACTATGTGTTATGCTTCGTATATTCACAAGAGTGGAGCGGAAAGTTGCCTTATTTATTTCTGTTTGGTTTACGTAGCGGCACAGGTTCAGATAAATTATTATTACTTCTCCAGTTACATCTAATGAGTCGGTTTTGGCTCAAAAGAGTGTACTGACCATGAATACTGTTTCATTTTACAATGCCATTACCTGCTGTTTGTGTGATATATAGTGAGTGTTTTACTTATCGTTGTTGTGAAACGTACTTTTTAACCCTTATTTGTTTGCCAATGTAGTCTACTGCTACCAAGAAAGCCGGGTTACACTACTTGTGGAAAGAGCCAGCGACTTGGACTTGTTATAAAACGGATATTTTTGTTCCTAACCTTTTTCTGTACTTCGAATCGCCTCAAGGTATTTTGAACATATACTGTTATAACCAGTGTGATCCATTGTCCTGAACATCACAAATCAGAAAACCTGGGTTATCAAGTATTTGGTGGGATTTGAGATACGTCTGCTATATCTCAACAAACAACTTCATTCCATACCACTGTTTGGTTGACTAGTGGTTTAGAACGCCAAATAATATTTCCGTTATTTGTAGCCCGAATGTAATTAATCAGCGTTGGTTGTATTCTGATTCATCTGTTTGTATGGTCAGTAACAAAGCAACTAGAGAGGAATAATAGGAATTGAAGAGGGAGGTTGATTATGAATACAGTGGTCTTGAGTGCTGTTAGAGTTATGAGGGCGGTTATCACTTCCCGGTTGCCGATACCGTTGAAGGGTTCTTTTGAAGGTACCTGAAAAGGAAATTGGATTAGAGGCGGTCTTAGTGACCTGAGAGCGTGAACGCAGTGCGCAAGGGATAACTGCTTGAGGTCGGTCACACAACCTTTTTGTGAGTAATTTTTGCGTTAGCTCCGTACTTGTTGAGACCTTACCGCCGGAGACGGATATCCGTGGGATAAGGCGAGGTGTGCATTCTCAGGGTCGACCTTTTCTAACCCCGCCCCTCCTTGTGGGAAGTCAGCATCGCTGTCATGCTGGTTGTCTGAAGGAAACGCCTTACTGCTGTCACACCTCTGTACAGTCATCAGTACGACTTCGCCTTCGGATCTTGGGTTTGCTGCTTTTAGTCTTACCGCTCTTCAACCGAACTGTCTGACATGGTAGGACCTTGAGGAACGGTTGTTCCAGCCAGTATGGCTCGGTTGCTTCGTCACGATTGGCAAGCCCGACCACCACGTCAAGATAGCAACAACGGTGGGGAACTAGAGATATACATAACAAGGTAATTCTGTTCACGTTTATATACATGCTGTGCAAGAGGGTAATTTATGATCATACTCTCAAGAGAACTAGAAACCATCTAAACGTCTTATAGACTGAATAACACAGCTTCCCTCTGTGAGGCAATCCTAGGTAACAGAAATCTTAGTGGTGACTTACTAATTAAAGTGTTTGACTTTCAGCTAACAAATCTTAGGTCTTCGCACTTCAGTTTGGTTAACAGGTTAGTTGATCGTCACTGATGGGTTAAGAAAGACAAGGCAGCCTAATTAGATTGCACAGTAGTACTTTGCCAATAATTGTAAACGCTCTCAAATGATCTTGATCAAGCTATCTTGCGTAGACAGTGTCACCTGAACTAAGTGTAATTTCTTGAAATAACAATTATTTTCGTGTGACTGCTGATTCCATCTTGGTTGTCTCTGTCAACAGTGGCAGCTATCGCTTTTTTATAAACACCACTGTATCAATCAACCTTATCTGACCAATACATCCTGATCATCTAAGTAGATTAGAACATAATCAATGTGTTTCTCAGTTGGCAGTTACCGATCTATTTGAGAGAAAAATATCGCAAACCTAATAAGCAGGACCGAAATCTAACTCAGACGAAATTTCTATTTGTTTGCAAGTTACTGTTTGTTAACACCAACGTAATTTTCTTGCAGTCCACTTATGAGGGAATGGATGACACTTTGTTTACATGTGACGGCTATTGAGTAGTTTGTCTCTGGCCACTGTATATACAGTGCTCGGGACATATTGTTTGCTAACTTAAGTTTCCCACTTACAAGTGTTAAACAGCTAATTAAATTTAGAAGCTATTCAAACGAACACATATATTCTTATAAAGTGGTACATTGTTTTTTTTTCAACTGACTTAATTTGTTGAAATGCGTGGATAGTCATCTCTTCGAGAGAATTTCTCACTCTGAATAGATTAGCTAGTTTTCACTGCTGAATTATGTTAATATTAAATTACTTTTGTGCAACCATGAGAGAATGCAGTTAATTAATTATATCATGCACTCTATTACTCCTGCTTAGTTTCTTTAAACAACGACTCATCTGTTATTGGCGGTTGTCAGATTGTAGAAACGTATCTACAGTAATAGTAAATAAGTCTCCAGGTGATCGACCTTCATCCCGCAAAAATTAAGGATGCGGTAGTCTGGGGCTGGTTTCTATTCTAATGAAATAGTATTTCTTGTTTTAATTCTAGAAAGGTAGCTTCGGGTTAATGCTGTCATACTTTTCGTATGGATCGTTGCGGCCACATATTTAGCATGGAAACGGATCGATAGCGTTATACAAAAAAGTAAAAAAAATCAGGTCACTTTTAGTCTGAAAGCAAGTTGTTTTGTTTGTTGGTTGGCGTTATTAGTGTTCGCACCTATTTTAAATGTGTTTAAAAAGAACTACACACATTAGGACGTAACCATATGAAGTATTTACTCATGTGTGTACGTATGAGCGTAAATTAATACTACCATGTAAAGTGTATATAATGCATATAACTAGGTCTGTTCAATTTAGTTAAGGATAAATAGCGTGTCATTAGACTCCTAAATGCCTTGAAGTCTAGAATTAGACTTCTAAACATCAGGTTAATCGACTCCTGAGCTATTTAAGGATGTCAATCGATGTTTATCCGGTATCCGGATTTTCATCCTTACTCCCTAGGATGCGACTTCATGTTTCATTATCAAAGTAATGACTGGATTTGACTACTAATTTGTTTAATTTCCACTTGAATCTCCGAGTATTGTATCTAATAACCGTATAACCTAAAGGCTTGCTTCAACTGGCGATTTTATTACACTAACCAATAATGAGTCAGTTTTGCGTTCACATTAACAGTCTGGCTTCACATCGCAGGCTGATGATCAGAAGATTAGTTACTTGCATTTACCAATGTGCGTGATATCAATGTATTTTCAAAGAAGAAATATGGGTCAACTAAATTTATAGGATTTCCATTCTGAATAGCATTTTAACTTTAATCCTGAATGTCTCACTTAATGACGAGATTTCATTTCAACGCCTTCAATAATCGAGTTAGATATTTCACTCTAGAAACTTTATACAAAACAATCAACTGCCACATTGAGTCATTATAGATTTTCCCTATCAATGTAAAAATTATAGTAATGATTCTGTTCAAAGCTTAAAATTGATAGCTCACCTGACCTACTAGTACTTATTACTCATTGTTTGTGCGTAAATCAAAATAATTGCATGTTTCTTCCATCTCCAAAAACAAGTAAAGTAGGAATTATGTAAACCACTGGTATATTTATTGTCTGATTTCTCTACATAATCTTCGATTCCACTCTTTATTTTGATTATATTTACCGACTAATTGTCTTAAGATTTGTGTATACTATGAACGTGTAACTCTTCTAATAGAAAGAAATGTTTCCCCACTTGACATAATATGAAAACTGTCTTGTAGATTGAGTCAAAAGACTGCTCTTTGTGACCCAATCAGATTCATGTCTATTTAAATAAAGTATGTAGTCCTAAAGATTTCATGTAATCACAATTCGAAGTTAGATGAGAATGGAGTATAAGTCAGGCTAAATTCGATAATATAACAGATCCGAAAGGCCTTCAGCAGTATCGATCTCTCAGAAATATGGTTGTATCTGAGACTAATGGTAGTGAAAGATGGGACTGAAGGAATTGCAATTCATAGTGGTATAATCCTCTAGATGCAGAACAGTGTGCTCATATGACTTCAAGTGAAGATGTTGCTTAGTAGTGGAGCATATGAACTCCTGGTCTGTCGGGTGAAATGTAAAGAACAAATCACTATACTAGTTTTAATTCGGTGTGACTCTGGTCAGAAGGGTGGTACGTTTCTCTCAAATTAAGCAAAATATTGGGTCAATAAAAGTAGGCGCTTGATGGTAAACTATTTTAGTACAGGATGTAATAGCTTCAAAAATCTGGACGAAGGTGCCAATCAACCCAGTCCTCATCCATTGTTAAGATCTGCCACCATATGAGTCGTTCTTTATTGCACCACTGAATTTACCTGGGAACGCATAAAGCTATATTCTCCTATTGGATCACATCGTCTACGAGTAATCTTTCCCATTACCACCAATACTGTTACTACACACACTACTATGGCATTGCAATTTTGAACTGATCCGCACATGTGGTAGGTTCTAAGTCGCATTTTACTAACTTTTAGAGTGCACATGATCATGTCGGTCGCGCGACGAACAAATTTATTGGTTCTCTCGTAATTAGTTTTACAACTAATTCTCGATCATTATCCGCAAAATCTTGTTTATTTGCGTTTCATATTACACAATTCCTTTAGATAACAATTATTTGAGATACATCAAATTGATTTTAAGCTATGGCCATCTTAATTTGACATATCATTAATGGATTGCTTCAGAAATGGATGAATGAAATAAATTTATAAAATATTTTTAATTTGACTACTGATAAAATAATTACTTGGAAAAATTAGGATATTTTACATTTTCAACAAAAAATGTGTATAAGGTAACTTTGTTAGTCTATTTGCGCAATATTATTTCTTTTAGCAAATTTGTGTACATGATTAAGCGACTATTAACCTCTTCTTAGTCCTTATTAACCCATCTTTGTCTGTGAATCTCACTTTTACACACCAATATATCAACGAGGCATTTTAATTCATTTTAGCAAATTGAGTTTGTAAGTGAAGTTACAATGTAAAACAATACTGATGATCTTTTTATTACATATCCTGATTAAGTTGATCAACAAGCTACAAATATCCACACACATCCTAATAGAACCGTTGTTCTTAGTTAGTACTAATATGCATACGTTTTGTGTTGAATAATTAGTCATAAAATCATATTTTTTTGCTGAATACAAAACAATCCATTTATGTTTGATTCCATGTGTTTACAAATTAGACAAAACCAAATATTGGCCGTGTGTTCTGATATACATTATAGATAATAACAAAATACTCCTGAATGGTGCACAGTTTTTCGCATAAATTAAGAAATTATTGTAATAATACCATGATTGAATGTCGCTGGTTTGTAATAAAAAAATATAACTTGGTCATATATTTTAACATTCTTAATTGAAGTGAAAGTTTTGAATAATCGTAATTCATGGATCAATAAATGAGAATCGATTCTTTCTATATTATAGTTATATTATTTTACAATAACTTATTTTGTCTGGGAATACATATTGTCTGCATTCTTTGATGTTAGAATACGATTAAGGTTTAACTAAATAGTTTTCTTAAATAACAAAAGTAACTCAAGGTGTAACTGAAGAAAAGTTAAAGACAATTATTTGCCCCAAAATGCCCTGATACGGCCGAGACAGCTCTCCCTCTCGAAATGTTCTCACATGGCCACGCGCACACAACCACTGTCAGGGAAGTCCTACTTACTAACTTCTCGCGGCACCACTGTTGTTTACGAAACTGAGAGAACGAAAAGCGAATTTTCGGAGCTTTAACCGAGTTGATAGATACGGAGGATCCATCTACGGGGGTTGGAAAACCGTGATTCGAAACCAATGGTGCACATGGGCTCCAGTATTCTGAAGGAGCAAATGGCGTATGAACCAATCGTTGGTCACCGGTTACCATGGGACTGCATCTCCCGACGTTGTTCCACCGCCTTGTGGATGAGACCTTTAGGTCAAAGGATCGGGGTGTGGCTCCCTAAGGAAACCACCTGCTTCGGTTTGGGTAGAAATGTAGTATCCCAGCTCACACAAATCGGATGATTTATTTGGTGCATCCTTGTACTCATATTTATACTTAAATAAATAAACGACAAGCTTGACAGAATAATGCAGAAACTCATTGCGTTTCTTAACTTTCATAGGTTTCTACACAATTCTATCAAGCTCACTTGCTCGAATAAACGGTTTTTATCAATAATTTTTCAGAGGGAACCTTGGTAATATTCTGTGTTTAAGTGGTGACACTTTGACCTCATAAAAAGACGTTAAAACAAATAAATTGTGAAACTACAACACCATTCTTTTCGTATACTCTTTAACTAACACGAGAATATTGGCTTGTTTCAAAACTGAAACTGCTGATTTTATATCTAAAGCCAAGTTATACTTCACTGGGTCATTTAAACCATAATTAGTTTTTTTATTTTTATGAAAATATTTTAAAAACTTTGATTGTATTTCAAGAATTTACATTTAACATAACACCGACTGTGTACTAAAGTATTTGGAATCAATCCCTTATTCTTTAGACTGAAAAACTACTATTATTAGTACTAAGCTTTCTGATTGCTTGTTAGTCAGATAGATTGGCTTATGTCCGCAGTTAAAAGTTGGTACATTTTTACAAATTGTGAGACGATTGAAGCCTATTAAATAATACTAGAATTTTAGTTAAGTGTTCTAACGTTAGCTATTCGTGATGATAACTTGTATGACATACTAGTGAAGTTTTTCTCCTGCTCATATTCGTGACCAGTAGTATTCATATACATATTATGATCATGTTAATAAAAATTAGAAGCATCGAAGAGCTAAATATATTCGGCAATATAGAACTCAAGTGATACCGACGTGAAATAAGCCTAAGGCATCCAAAAAACAAACAAGAATATTTTAAAGGCTACGTAAAATGAATAAATCAGTGCACTGAACTAAACAGGAAATCTGTGTTATTAAAATGAGAGTCCTTAAAACGCAATCACGGTACATTCTCCCCGTTGGTAAATTTTCTTTTTCCAGTACGCATTTAAAATACTGTTTTATGAGTGACTGCAAATATTATGACTGATACACAAGTTTTCACTTTTTCTAACTTAACCATTCTATGTAACATTCTACAAGACTGAAGGTTCAAAATAATCATCCAGATACTAAGTTATTTTGATTTTGAATTGTAGTCTGTGTAAAAGTGAACATTATACAGATTATGAAACTATTTCACATAGTAATTAGGACAGTGCATCAGTGTTACTAGTATCTAAATTTGTTAAAATATTCAAACATCATAATTGCAAAAAGTGTTTATATGAACTTATGTCTAGCACGTAGAAAGATACAAGTGATATGTTACACAAAATACTAGATAACCAATGTCACAGCGCATTGCTTAAAGTGAAAAACGAAAAATTGATTAAATGAATAATGCGTCAACTGTAAAACTATTGGAGTATATCTCTCGTACAAAGAATAGCAATATGTTCTTAAGTATGGGGTTGTGGAGAATGTTAAGTTTCATTGAGATCCTGAACCGAACTAAATTACACCACCAGGAGTCCCATACTACATTTTGATAACAGAACGGTGAACTTT